AAGTAATTGGTGAAGGGCCCCAAACATCCATAAATAGAGTTTCTAAAGGACGTGAGCATTGTAATGTAGAAGAGCCAAACGGAAGTTTGTGACTTATATTGCATAAGCAAGCATTACAAGAAGATGAAATATTATTCTTAGACATAGGCAAGGCATTAGAAGAAATAATTTGGTGGAGAACCTTGGAAGATGGGTGACCGAGACGATTATGCCAAAGGTAGATTGATGGTGAAAGGGAGTTAGATTTTTATGCTATGCATGCTAATGATGAGGATGGTCGAGAGAAATCAGTGGTAGAGGTAGGCCACTCGTAAACATTGCCCTTACTCCGGCCTCGCACCAAGGATGCCCTCGTAGCTAGATCCTTCACAAGAAAAAAATGAGGAAAAAATTCAATGGATGTTTTATTTTGAGAACCAAAATTGGGAAACGGAAAGTAAGTTTTTCTTGATCAGGGTGCACACAAAACATTATTAAGTTTGAAAGTGTTATTATGAGAATTAAGGGCAGTAGAGCCAATGTGAGTGATAGGAATGTTATTACCATCACCGACAATTATATCTTCATTACCACCATAATCGGAGTGAATAGCAAGATTTTGTAAATCGGAGGTAATATGATGAGAGGCTCCAGAGTCGACTAGCCAACCAGAATTGTTGCTCGTGGAATTGCGGGCTGCAAGATTTGCTTGTGGCCAATTGGATGGTGGAGGTCGTGACCGGCAATATTTTGCGACATGGCCTACTTTGTCACATAATTGACAAACAGGTCGAGATTGCATTTGAATGCCAGAGTTGCGCCACGGCTGAATAGTGCGATTATAGAAATTACGAGTTCCATTTTGAGAAACTGAGTTGCCTGGAGTACCACGATAGTCATTGTTGTTACCTGCATAGGAGGATTGCCTAGAAGAAAATTGGTTAAATTTGCCCCTTCTCAACGGCTGTTTTTGAGAAAATTGAGCAGTAATTGAGAGCTCTTCTTTAGTGGCATTTGAGTGTTTGAGAGTTGTCTCATAGTCGACCAATTTTTCCGTCAATTCGTCGAAAGAAATAGCCGTCTCTCGAGCCCTTAACGCAACCTTGATTTCTTTGAAGGAATTGGGAAGTCCGTTGAGTGTGTGAACAACGACTTCTCCATCACTCATTTTGTGTCCGATGGCATTGAGATCATCAATAATTGTTTTGACAGATTGTAAGTATTCAGACATACTTTTCCCTTCTTGATTGAGTTTAGTGAGAGCTTCAATGAGACTTACAATTCGAGTGTTCCACGTGTTCGCATAAGTCGTTGCTAGTGTCTTCCATGCTTCTTGAGCAGTTGCACATCGAGTGATTAGAGGTCCTGCTGGTCCTTGAACAGCGCGCGGTTTGAATAGCAAGAAGTAGTAAGCGATCTTGGCGCACCCAAACTTTGAATTCTGGGGCAGTCTCTTGTGGACACGGAAAAGAGCCATCTATATAACCCATGAGATCGTAGCCAAGGAGGAGATTTGTCATTTGAGAGCTCCACAAGGAATAATTTTGTCCGTTCAGTTTTTGGGGTATGAGTGTGGCTGTGTTGAGCGAGATAACTTGGGGAAGAGAAGACAAGGAAGGGTCAGAAGCATTTGTCGTAACCGTGACCGGTGTAGCCATGATTGGACTAGAAGAGAGTGGTAGAAGGAAACAAGAAAGAGGGAGAAAAAAATTCTAGTTTTGCTTAAAGGCTCTGTACCATATAAAATAATATGTTTGGAAGAATGAATTGTATTATATTTTCTACTATTACAAACCTCTATATATATGCAGAGGAGTTGACCAACCGTTACAACTAAAATAGGAAATTACAAGATTTAAGCCATTAGACTTAATGGAGAATAATACACATTAATTACAAGATGATTTGTGGCCTTGCTGCTGATTCTTGGAGAGATTATCGGCTGATTGCAGCCTCATTTGGTGTAGATGTAACTGTAAGTTTATCATATCGGGCTGGTGAAATACATCAGGTGATCCTACACCATATGTATATGTGCTTAATGTGTATTGAGTTATGGTGCATGATAACCCGATGTTATTCATTGGATATATGGCATCTCACACCCCATACTTTAGTGTTGGGAATGGGTTGCCTATTAGTGGGTTTTGCAATGAAGCTTTAGCCTTTGATTGGGCTTTTAGCAAATAAGTTAAAATTAAGCTTTTAAGGCCTAATTTTATTATAAACACACGTCACATTAATTGGAAGCCCGATTAATGTGTCTTCCGACAGAAAAAACCTATGATATATCACTTTCACCATCTAGTTCATCAAACTGTACATGCATCAAATGATAGAGACAATAACCTTATTTATCTTAAAAATATATAAATATATAAAAAACGAATAAGTATATATATACATATATTCTGTATAGCTAGCTAGCTAGCTGTACATATTTGGAGGGAATCCATGGAAGTGACGAACACCAAATCTTCAAGATATTTCGTGGACAAATTTTGAACGGAGACTATATTATTGAAGACAAGAAAATATCTTTATAATTGGGTAATAAGTCAATCACACAAAGATTTTATAATTAAACCGCAGTCGACAAGTCATGTACGACGAACTTGACCTGAAAAAGGATGGCATATATATATATATATATATATATATATATATATATATATATATATATATATATATATATATATATAAATATATATATATATATTGGTGAGCCAAGAAAAACGGAATTAAACCGTTGCTAAAGAAAACGAAAGCTCATGAAAAACCTAACCGGTTACAGAAAAACCGAAATGAATATAATTGAACTTGAAAACCCGATATAAATCCGAAATCAGAACGAGTATCAATTTGAATTTTTTTTTTTAAAGGAAAAATTAAAATAGTGCCGACTATTAGAACATCTACACGGTTCGAACTCGGCAGTGATCACTAGTCAGTATACAAATGGCCCATAAAGTACGTATTTGGGTGACAAATAGCTACTCTTCATCAGTTTTAGGGACCATGCTCTTTTTTTTTTAATTTAAAAGTTTGCATCAAAATGTAATATTAAAAATATAGTGAAAAATAATTTGATAAATCAATCGAGTTGTGTGTTTGAATGAACTTTAACAAGACGGACAAGAATCAAGATCGAATAGCTTAAATTTATGTGTTTATAATTTTTTTTAGGGTTAATATGCCATAAGTCCCTCAAAGGAAACCTAATTTGAACTAAATGACAAATCAATATTCAATCTTTTAATTAAATCCTTATTTTGAAATAATATATGAGCCACATCCCTATTTTTTTTTTAATCCCCATCTTGCCCTTATACCCTAGATTATATAAATCTAGACATTCACGTCAGTTCAGATTTATTTTTTTTCTTTTTGTTTTCTCTCTCTCTCACACGTTCTCTCTCTCCATATTTCTCTCACACGTTTTTTCTCTATCTTCCTTTCTCTCTCGTTATTTGCTCTCGTCTCTCTATATTTCTCTTGTTCTTCAGTAGTTACACGAAGACAACCACCGCCGCCGATGGAGGGAGCAGGGGGCGGTGGATCTAGAGAGTATGGTGGAGACGGTGCCGGCGGGAGGAGGCAGCGGCGGCGTCGGGTGGAGGTGGGGCGACGGCGGCTGCAGCCTCGGGTGGAGGCGGGGGCGACGGCGGCCGCGGCGTCGGGTGGAGGGGCGGCGGCATCAGGTGGAGACGGCGGCGTCGTTGGGTGGAGGTGGCAGCGGTGGGTGGAGGCGTGGTGGGGTTGTGATTATTGTTGATATGTTATGGAAAGTATATTTTTGACTAATAAATTGGATTTGATTTCATTGTGTTTTGAAAGATTTTTGCTTGATTTGGGTTCAAATGCCAGATCTAGGTTTTCCCAAAGTTGGTAGGTGACTATATTCGCGGCGGCTGCGAGCGTGGGTTGCTAGGGTTGGCGGCGGCTGCGTTCGCTGCTAGGGTTTGCGACGGCTTGGTGGCTAGGGTTTCGTAGTAAAGTATAGTATACCGTAGTATACTATACTACACCGTAGTATACCATAGTACTTACTAGACTATAGTATACTGCAGTACATTGTAATATACCATAGTATACTGCAGAAAAAATGAAAAATATGTAAATTGAAATTAAAAAAAAAACACGTTTTTTCAATTGTAATTCTCAATATTAAGCAGAAAAAAAAAGTATAAAAATAAAGAAATTTTTATAATAGTGTATAAAATGCTAAAATAAATAAAGAAAAAAAGGAAGACAAATCGATATTCTGAAGAAAAAAATATTAGATGGAAATATATATTAAAACGCATAATATATTAAATGATCTATGCAGTCTCGGTATTTACAAAATGAATATCGCGACTTGTGAGTGGAGGGGCACCTATGGAATGAACTCGATAAAGGAATGTATGCTCATGTTTAGATAGACTTGTCATATAGTTCAAATAAGGTTTGTCACTAAGGACCTATATCCTAAGGCCCCTTTTTTTTAATAGCCAAGCTCGGACTTGAACCAAGCTTTATAGCTTATCGGAAAAATATGTGTTTAAATTTTTATTTTATTTTCAATTTTGTTAACAAACCGAGCCCAGACGAATTTTAACGCAGGACGTAGCTTGATTCGATTTTTAATCCTATCACCAAATTTTAAGGTCCGTAGATTGATTAACTGGTTTTCATTTATTGGAGATATTAATATTAAATAATCCGTTCGAATTTGAGATAATCTATAATAGAATGCAAAAACACACTCCCAAAAGTGGCCAAACAAAGCATAACTTTCTTGTATAGCGGACATAATTAAATTCATAATCCTTAAATTGAATCCAAAAGAGAAACTTACATATAAGATACTCAACCACTTGCTAATCAATTTTCTTAAGCAACTGCAAGGGCGTGTAAACAAGTCGAGCTCTCGACTAATTATTACATAGCTCGACTTAGTACAAACATGCTTCCCAAATAAATATATATATATAATGACATTTGACATATTATTATCAAGCCATATAAATATAAATATATTATCCAACTATAGATTGAAGGTCACTATAAGTGCATGGTATAGCAAGAACACCAATTTGCGCAAAACCGAACTCTTCCTCCGCTTGCTCCAAAAGCTTCAGAAATTTCGGATGACCTAAATAACTTATTTCTATTACAAACCTCTTCAACACACCACCATCAACCGTATGGACCGCGAAATACCCCTCCTTCACATCTTCCGGAAGGGTATTTTCATCATCTTCTATTTCCCGGTTATCGAAATCGAATGGAACTGGTGGGGTCACTATTTTTCCCAGAATTTTCCACACGAGCTTAACGATCTGTATCCTTCCTTTCATCACATAAATAAACTCTGATTTTTTTTTTTTTTTTTCTTGTTGGCTATGTAATAGAAACTATATGATGATTAATGGAACTTATATACACGAGTTTGTGAGGAACAAGAGATTTGGTTACGAAAGATATGTGGAAGCGGAGTTCATGCATGTGTAGCCCGACAAGAAAACCTATGATGTATCGCTTTCGAGCTCTTGTTCATTAACTGCACAAGGCATTAAGCTAACGGATTAAAGATAAACAGATGAGCATATATTAAAAAAAAAAAAATGTTGAAGCTATATAATTAATAATTAATGAGTGTGTGTATACATAATACATGTAGGGGAGGGGGGCCATGAATGAATAATGATGCATATCTTCTCTATAGCTGTACAACCCAATGTACTCTCATGGAGATCACTTATACCTAATCTTGTAATAAGATATTTAATTAGAAACAAAGTGAAATAACGAATAAATTAATTTATTAGTATATATATATCAAGAAATATTTGAGTTTAACTTATTTTGAAGGTTGAAGTAGCTAGAAAGTAGAAGACAAACTACAACCTAAGAGCCTGTGGAATGTTTTCTTGAAATTATGATCTCTGGGAAATATATCCATATAAATATATAATGTGTGTGTGTGTGTGTGTGTGTGTGAGAGAGAGAGAGAGAGAGAGAGAGAGAGAGAGAGAGAGAGAGAGAGAGAGAGAGGGGCTTGCCATATATTCGGGCCCTTGAAAGATTATTTGTTAGACAACCATATAATATAATGTTGGCTTGTTTGCGATTTATAAAAAAGAACACAACTAATTAAACGGTTAAATCTTTATAAATTAATATACAGTTGAGACTAGCTAAATTCTGTGAATTTAGCAGAATAGCAGCTAACAAATTAATTGATACTTAGTAGTTTACGAATGAATTAATATTAAAAGACCTGTCAGAAACCGATTGATTTTCTTTCTGTTAAAACCGGTCACACATGTGTCCGTAATTCGGCAACTCATTCAACCAATACTAAAGCCCCGTTTTTTGGTAGTCGAGCCATGGTCAGCCAATAAAATTATTTAAATGATGTTATTAAATAATCGAGTATTAAATTATATCGAGAATCTATGTCGTCATTATATAGTGTGTCTTGATGGAACGACACCGTAGTACTATTGGCATGCTCACAAGTTTAATTCTAACCTAAATAAGGAAATTTCTAATGAGGAACGAAACAAACACTATGGCCACCGACATTAAAATGATAATAAAACATTTGATAATTTAATTTAATAATAAAAGAAAGTAATTAAAAGGAAGATAAAGGGAAAGAGCAAAAAAAAAAGAACCAAGCCTAACACGATTAGGTTAGGTACTATTAAGTATTAAGTACGAATTAAGGGATTCAATTATTTGATTTAGAGTTAGATAGGGTATTCTACAATTAAGGAAAACTCAAGGCCTAACACGTAAATTGTAAAGTTTAATAACATAGTCACCATCATGTTCATGTATTAGATTTTTAATTAGGTATATCTAATATTATTTGTAGAGTTGTAATAATATCTTATATATACATTATTGTAAAAAGAGTAATTCTTTGCATTTTCTGAAAATATCTATGTATTTTGGCTGCCAAATTTATTGCAGTGCAACTGAAATGATGGTCTCCGTGACATCCTCACTGGCGGAAGATAATGAACGCAAGGGGGGCCATGGCCCCCCCAAGAAATACTCTCTCTCTCTCTCTCTCTCTCTCTCTCTCTCTCTCTCTGTATATATAGTGTATTTTATTTTTATTTAAAATGCTTATGTAGTGGCCTACTGGCCTCAATAAGAAAACAATTATTATATCTATACCTTTTAAAATTAACTTTGATAAATGATAATTAATCCTCCAAAATATTTTTCAAAAACCTATGATAAAAAAACAATTTAACATAAATATGAAAATATTTGTTAAATCTCTTATTTTATGGATTGCTAGTATTGTATTAATTATTTTGGACATACTATATTATAAATATTTTACTTAATTGTGGTTCGATTTATCGATTAATTTCCCTAAAAAAAATTGGGATTAATGTTGCCTCTGAACCCCCAATAAATTTAATTCACCGGATGAGGACGGCCCCGAAAGGTTTACTAAACACATCCATACACACACTTGTCGTCGGAGACACCTGTCACCAAGGATGTTCGATACAAGTTCAAGCCCTCTGAAAATGCATCGTCCACGTTAATTTTAATTAAAGATACACACCCCCACGGAGGTGCACGGTTCCCAAACCTCTTGGTAAGTCCGTTTCGTGAGTTGAAACAATTCCTCCCCATGCAGCACTCGGCCGTTACGACGATCCAACAAAACGCCAACAGACCACCACAGCCAAGATGAGGGATTCTTTATTATTCAAATCCCGGTGAACCAACTCCATACTATCAACTCGCCGAACGAGAACCGGAGGTCGATTCCAAATATTGTACACCCCTGTGTGCCTGTGGCCCAGGCTAGCCAACCAACCCTCCGCCAGATGATCTTCCAATGTCGATTACCTGGCCCAAATTAATTTAGAGCCTACGTTAAAAGAAAAAAAAAAGAAAAAAAATTCAATTATTTGATAATGGCTTTGGGCTATGTTGAAAGAAAGAAAAAAGAAATCTATATTACCAAATTGGGCTTTATTTGTCTCCCAAATTTTCTTATAATTGGGATCCAATTATAACATGGGCCCAAAGCCCATAGGTTTAATTCTATTATAATGGATGCAATTGTCTAATTTCCCATATATTTGGAAATTGGGTCCCACTCCCACCAGTTGTTCAAACTCAACTGTTGTACAAAATACACCCCATGTATTTGACTTTGAATATTCAGACACACGAGTATTTGACTACGCCTTCATCTTATCCAAAACTGAACCCAAAGTCAAATAAGGACCATGAATTTTCACTTCATTAATTTAATTAATAAAAAAAGAAAATTCAATTCTGATGTTAAAAATAAATCACCTGGGACATAAGAGCTGCGTGAGCAAAGTAGGTCACGTGCTCACGAGTTAAATGGTCCTGAATACTAATTAACAAAATAATCATGTGAACAGAAAACACGTAATCTAAGCCGGGGTTCATTTGGCGGAAACTCCTCCGACGCTCAAATCAGACGTGCGGATAGTCGGTAATTGTAGAATAATTCAAATATAAAAATTGATTGAATAATAATAATAACGTACCTTGATTAAATGAACTTAAGTTCTATTTATACTTTATTGATTGGGCCGAGGTCATTTTATCGGGCCCAACCTTATTTGGATGTGATTGGGCCTCCGTATAAATAGCTATTAAATTGAGCCTGTGGCCCAGTAAATATGAATTTATTGGGCTAGGCCAATAGGCATATCAAATTTGAACCCATGAATATATAAGGGCATAAATGTCATAATAAACTAAAAAAATATAGTTATTCAGCAGTCTATACTCTTTAGTCGTGAATCTACACATAATCACATATATATATATATATATATATATTTAATTAGATCAACGGTTCGAATGTAGCCATAAATTGGCCCCCCTATATATTAAATCACATATTATCCGGCCCCCTACCAAGAATTATTAGTAATTTTCATTTTTGTTTTTGAGTTGAATATTCTAGTTGATACTAGAACCTAGACCCATTTCGCACTCTCCAATCCCAAGTCTCACATATTTAATTAATAATTTAATAATATCATACATGCATGTATGTGGCATGATTCACCATACACGACAAACATATATATGGATAGATAGATACATGGCAATGTATGTATGTATGTATGTAGATGAAAGCCAAAAAAGGTAGGCGCGTCATAGTCAGAGCTGAGTCAGAGGCACTCCGACAAGTCAATCTCATGACCTTTCCTCTTGTCTATGTATGGTATGAGTGGGTCGATTGTAATTTTTTTTTTTTTTATGATGATCATGATGTATACATTCCCCATTTTTTATTTTTATTTTATTTATTTAATCCCTATTTATTTTTTTAATAAATATTAGGTTTAATATTCCATTAACCTCAATTAATTTAGCGAAATATTCTGTTAAATGTCAAATTATCGAGTTGGTAACTTAGCACGTTCTCAACTAATTGTGACCGAAAAAATTATCGAGATCATTAATTTATCGAATATTAATTTATGGAGTTTCTGCTATATTTTTATAAAATAACATCGCAATTAAGCACTTTAGTGGATAAAATGGAAGTCACTATTAAACATGGAAAATGAAGTAAGCAAATACGTAACAAGTTTCTTAACAATGGCCAAATAATATTATTGGCTGATTTATTTTTGTCTTCTTCTTTTAACCAAAGAATTTCAAACTAAAACGTAAACTTAAATCATCAATGCTTTTCTTTCCCCCCATTTAATTAATTAATAGATATTTGATTAATCGTTTTCTACATTTTTAAAATCGCATGATTCATGATGAAACAAACATGTATGTTGCTTTTGTTGTTATAGAAAATATCATTTATATAGTTTACAAACTAAATGCCCATGAATATTTTCTTTTATAAAAAATTGAGTTGAGTTAAATCATTTTTTTTTATTTTTT